TATATATATATATATATACATATACACAATACACACACACACGTATTGCGCAGAACTTCGATTTTACGCGAACCTTGAAACCCAATTCGTTGCTTCCGCACAATCTTAAGGTTTCACGGAACACAATTTGCCTTGATATTAGAACTGTAGAGATCAGAAAGCTGTTGTTCAAGAGTTGCAGCAACAAATCACACGCTCAGGAAACAGATCAGAACACAGGTGTTCAAGAGTTGCAAAGCGGATGCGTGTGCATCCGGCCACCAAATGCACGCGTCAGCACACTGTACGTTGCGCTGCGCTGCCGAGTCCCGAGCAACAGGTGGGAAACTCGAATTCCCGTTGCTGTGTTTTGTTGAGCGACGCCCACCCTCCGGAGAAAGTAATGGAGGAGAGTTCGTGACCTTCTAATGAGAGTTGTTTGTAGTGCTCATTTCCATGTTAGTTCCTTTAATGTAATCAGAGGGGCGATTGTAATTTAATTATAAAATTATTTAGAGTGTATCAGTGGATTTCAGTCGAATCTTACGAATGTATTGTGTTTTTGAAATTAGCGGAAGAGCTTCCAAACCATTTGAGTGATGTAAACGTGAATAAGAATACCGTGCGCTTATTCCCGTAACATTCCAGAAATTATGGCAAAATTTAGAGTCTTTGGGTGTGTTCACAATGACTACAAAAACAATAAAACAAAGTGACAATAAACGCATTGTTTACTTATTTTTATTTACATTATATCCAATTCATCTAAGAAATCATTTGATACATATTGTCCCTTTCAGAATTTTATTGTAGATTCATATGTTAGAGAAAGTTTGGGAAGTCGTTGTTCCATGTCGCAATCTTTTACTTTCTTCACTCGAAGAAGAGCAAATACACGAATTCCGTTAAATTATGTAAAAAAGACTAATATAATCGTAATTTACCACACAACTAAACACAATTCATCTTAAAAGTCGCTAACTATGCTATGGATGCTAAAGTCTTGATGACAATCTTCGTTTGCCAACACAGTGACTTGTGGAACTTTAAAATTCGTGGAATACTAAAAGAAACTCACCCTGTGTGGATACGCTAAGTGCCAGGTCACGTTGAACGTGGATCCAGCCAGCAGCGTTGTCCGGATCGAACCTGTGAGCAGAAAACAATTATTAACACTCGTCTTCAGATGACAGGGCGTTCTCTAAAATCTATTCTATTGCAAGCTATCGTAACCAGAAGACATCCTCCGACCTTTATGGCTATACTTTGCAAATCATAATGTACCGCACGCCTACTGTTTGTACGACACCTCGATTTTTTTCTAACGTCATCATGCAGTTTCAAATTTTCTCTTTCGGAGCAAGTACACTTACATCGCTCTACTAAAGAAAATCTGGAACGATGATACTCTTCAAGCTTTTCTAAAGCAGTCTTCAGTAGCCAAACAGTTTGAAACAATAATTCAGGAATTTCTTTTTGGGATTGTGTCAGAGTATGTCTAAAGATGGATTTCTTTTTTCCAAACCACGTGATTACAACAAAATCCTAAATCATGTACACTACAAGGGAAAATGTAATGAAATATTTCCATATTAAAAAGAAAGTAATGTGAAAATAATCCATATAATTATTCGTAAATTTATCTAACTTTCATGATGATTAAAATGTTACAAAAAAACAACAAAGTCTTCAAGAATTATGTTCCTCAGTTAAGGAACGGGAAATGAATTTTAACTGAACAGCCACTAAAGCAAGAGAAAACACTATTTCCCTAACAGTTGGCCAGTGAATATACAGAATTTCTGTAGTTTTCAAGGGAAATTGTACCACACGAATTTTTAAATAAATTTTCTACTCTAATTGCATTGATGCACTCGGTAAACAATATTTTTCATGAATATTGAGCATCGTTATTACTGTTTCTCAATTATTTTCTTAAAACTCGACGCAGAGGTCATCCACAAAATTAGCTGTTTTGTCAACCTTTCTGAAGCCCCATAATTACAATAATTAGTATTAATACCAAACCCACGTTTTCCTTTGTTGCGTGACTCTCAACGTACGAAGGGCCAGGAAATCTCGCGGTCCGTTGTTATGTTATAAAGTTCCTTGAAGGCGTTATTCTTTTTCACCTGACAAAACTACTGGAACAGTTTAATTGCGGTAACTCGCCCGTTTCGAGCGGCGGCCGCGGCAACGGCCATACGTTCTGCCCCAGAGCACCGGCGCACCTCTCGTACGGCGTACGGGACTCGCACAAAAAGGAAAACTTGAAAAGGAAGGTGCCAACGTGCGAAAGAAAAAGAAAGTAAAAGCAAGTTTATGAACACGACAGAAACAGATTCTATACAAATTATTTAATGTTCTAGTTGATTATTAAAGTCTCTACTATTTTTTCAAATAAATGTAAGGCAAATTCTAGAGAGCCATATATTAAAAACCATATAATACTTTCATTATTTTTTCAAGAGAGGATAATAAAAATTTAATAATTAATTATATAAAAACAATACAAACAATGAAAAAATACAAACAATAAAAACAATACTTTAATTCTATTGTTCTTCAACATTTCATTCATGAGATTCTAATGGCTCGTTTCAAAAATACAAAATCCCCCAAAATATAGATTAATACTTCATGAAAATTCATACATGTAAATATATATTTGTTCTAAATGAGATTGACTCCGTTGTGGATTACTCGTCTGCAAATCTCTTAAATTTTAAATGATCTAAGATAAAATTCATCATTAAAATAATCGCAATAAATCAGTATCTATTCTCTCGTTAAGAACTCACAAGGAATATCAATATTTTTCACACAAGTAGAACTTCCTCATATGAAATTCCATGTGCGGTAACAAATGAGGGGGGTCTTTCTCTCCCCCACAAAATTATCGATATTATTTTATAAATCGAAAACTATGAGTCAATTAACCTTGTTATTACTCGAAGAGCGATTCGTGAGAGACCCTTGTAATGCGTATTAGAATTACCTTATATCAAAGAACAGGCTCTGTTCAATAAATCAGAATTTTACGAGCTCAAATTTCTGGTGCGTTATGCCTTTATTATGCCGGTGGAAGTTTTCTAGTTTATTAATACTAGTTTTACGTAGATTGGTGATTTCGAACACCCACAAAACCGCAACACAACACGCTTGCTACGCTGAGTTGGTTGCAAGATAGATGACATGCTCTGTAGATATTCTTACCGCCATTTCAATTCGTCAAACGTGTACTCTTTTTCACATTTCTAACGATTTAACGTACGTAACGTATTTTTAACGTAATGTTATTTGTTTTTTTAACATACACATTACATGACATTACATAAACTGTATGAGCCCAAAGTTCAGGCCCTTAATGACGGAATTGCAAGTCACGAAAGGTAAGGCGTGGCATTGCTTAAGAAAAAGAGAGGATGCACGGAGGTAGATGCATGAAAATTATAAATTGCGTCCTTTAATTATCTCTTTTGAAAAGTCTTTAGAAGAAAAACGAACTTACTATAGAAATAAAACACCCAATACCACAATGTTCACTTCATAATTTGTCACCCTCCACAAGTTTCTACGCACCTTCCTGTGAACTAAAACGTATTTCTTTCTTAACGGGACAGTGAACTCGGGATAACAGGTGTAGTACAACGTCGCATGAGTAAGTCTTCGTAACTAAACTAATTGTTCTGATATCTAAACAGTGAAATGTATTTTAAAGTATATGAAGGGATTGGTGCTGTCACGGCACAGCAATCCTCGTGTGTTAATATATCAATTATGGTGAGTCGCGGTTATAACATTTCATATATACACCAGACACACCACACACACACACACACACACAGCACAATATATATATATATATATTAATATATTATATATATATATATATATATAACAACTCTAACGTGTTCGCAGTAAGCGCATTTGCATTTAGAGTGAAAGAAAGTTGCAGTATCACGGATTTAAAAAAAGGAATGTAAGATTGTTTTTATGATTGTTTCAATAACAGATGTCCCTCCTTGACTGAGCAAGGTCTTTACAATGTGTAATATATTACTCATTCCCAATGTGTTCAGAAATTGAATGAAAACTAGCAGTGTCCGGCCATGTGACAGACGTTTAGTTATTCCATTTATTCCCATTCTGCGCTAATCGACTAAATTCTCACAGTCAGTGTTTCACTGCTTACTACACGGCTGACGTCATGCCATAGCGAGGCTCCAAGAATAGGCTATTCATCATTAAATATCTACTACTCACATGTTGCATAATGGAACATCACCTTTTTTGTTCTTGGTATGTAAAGAAATGATGTGCTGTACATATACTATTCTATATTACTCTAGTATTCTTATCGACTATTTTTAAATATTTAATCTATTGCAGAGACTATTTTATGTGATTCTTAAGTAGTATGCATGCCACTTTTTTCATTTTGTGTGGTTTTATTCAGCATTCGCTAGTCAGCACACCACTAGTGCTGAACAATTTTACAGCCGACTTTTTTAGTTTAATTGCTTTTTATATTTCCTCCTTTCAACGTCTTTTCACCGAGAAGAAACGTCCAGTAAAGTTTTGTGAAATTTTTAAAAATATAAAGTTTTAATAAAAATAAGGCTTGTGCTATGCGATTTAGAAGAGCAATGTTCTCTATCCGATCAATAATATTTTAATAATTTGTGGAGCAGTTTCAATTTATATTTAGGCGAATGTTACTAATATTTTGTAAAAAAGCTGCACACAAATCGTTTAAAATATTAATATTGACAGATTGTACCTAGAAACAAATTTCTAGCTTGAGTAAAAAAGGTTCGAAAATGATCGTCATTATAAAATTAAAAATTACGATACGAGTATTTTAATGAAAATTAGACTTCTAGTACACTTACTAATAATATAATACCAACACTTGCATCTACGCTAGCAACAAATTTACGTATCCATTTCTGAGAAATTGAAAATTTAGTATGAGTTTCATACAAAACATCTCCAAAAATTAAATTATAGCTTTCAAATTCTAGTCAGGTAAGATAAGTCAGAAGAATCAGGGAATACGAACTTTGGAAAACTTTTTAAACGCACTAGAGGTGTTACCACAGTTTCTGTATTAGATCACTTTAACATTACTTATCACTATACATTTAGCTCATGTTCAGAATATTAAATTACCGGGAAATTGTAACCTTTAAAGTAATAAAATATAATTAAAGAAGGGGAACGTTTGCGAAAAAATGACTGAAAAATATTAAGAAAAAAAAATATTCGAGTACTTTTGTAACCTTCTCCAAATGAACAGTGAATGACAGTGAAGTGAAGTGAACCAGTGTAGTGAAGTGAACCAGTGAAGTGAAGTGAACCAGTGAAGTGAAGTGTAGTGTAGTGTAGTGGAGGGCAAGGGAGTGTAGTGTAGTGTAGTGAAGGGAAGTGCAGAGCAGTGCAGTGTAGTGTAGTGTAGTGTAGTGTAGTGTAGTGAAGTGTTATGTAAACTAGAAGTGAATTTAGAGTTAGCTAGAAATAAATTAGAACTATGATATCGACCCCTAATTCTAATAGTAAACCTAATTGTAAATGTTGAAAATGTTTAGTAATTCTAATTCTATTTGTTATCGTGTTTGCCACCGAGCATTAGCTCAAAGCGAACTTTAATAATAATAATAATAATAATAATAATAATAATAATAATAATAATAATAATAATAATAATCGGCCACTCATTACTCTTTGCCCTCTCATTACCATTTTGTCATCGTCTCATTCCCTGACCTCGCCATCGCTCCGGCACCATCCCGTCTAGATCGTCAATTGAAGAGCTTACTTTCAAAGTGATGGACCTCCAAGATATACAAATTTTCAGAAAGGGAATGTACTCAAATTAAGCCATATAGACAGCTGGGTTCAACTGTTTTCAGATACCGCTTTACACAGGAGAACCGCAATTTTTGAATACCAATATTTGGTAGCATGAGGAAAAGGCGTTTGAAGAATATACTGATACGTAAAACTAGAAAACAAACGGAAATGGATTTTTGATTGATTAGTGATCCCTGATGCTTAGTGGCGCGTCAACTGCTAATCTCATTAGTACCGTGAGAGTATGTGCATGTTCTTCCCTGGAGGTAGCGGTGATCTTCCCCCGCTGGCTA